GAAATCGAGGAATATGTCTTGGTATTTTCTCTTGGTTCTTTATAGGGCTGCATTCAGTAAGTTATCAACACGAAGTTGGTAAAAATAAGTTAGCCACGTTATCCAATTGATAAAATCGGTCGTTTACAGCTTTACTCTTACCTTGTAATCCTTTATTTGAATAGCGTTTACCATTTAAAACGTCAGCTTTTAATCCCCACCCTGGATTTAAGGTACAGATTTAAATCTCCGAATTTAAGTTTCGCATTTACAACCTCTGAATCTAAAGTACTGATTTAGAACCCCTAAAGTTAATGGACGGATTTTAAACTCCTGAATTTGATGTACAGATTTACAACAGCTAAATTGAAGTTATACATTCAAACCACACAATTCAATGGCGTTGATTAATTCTGTTTTGTATTTTTCAGCGACTACAACAGCCCCACCTGAAAGGTCTCCGTGGGAGTTTGCCCTTTTTAAACATAGGTTCAGGAGGTAGATTGACCATTCATTCGGATCAACAGTACCATATTAAGTTCTGATCAACATACTATAAACAGATTTTAATCTATTTGGTACCCATTTTGCCGCAGATAACGCTTTTATTTCAGTCATAACAGAGTGTAATAAAATATCTTTCACTTGTTCTTTCAGGACAACATGATCTCGATGCAGGCACTGTGCGTCTGCCTAGATTACCAACTTGCTCTCTCTACACCGATTGACGCTTGGTTGTGTAGAACATATGTGCAAGCGCAGCACACTTGGCCTGCTAACCTGTTGAGCAGGCCGTGTAAGTTTGGCCTACGAATGTTCAGTATTTTCTCGGCGAAAAATTACAGCCGCCATCTTCGATTCTCACGACTGCGGAGGGCTGGGTAGAGAAAGAAATTTTTACTAAGGAGGTGAGCGACGGTCAAACGGAAGAGGGAAAGGGTGGGGGTGACTTCTCGCCTTCCTCCGCCCCTACTCCCCTCCGTCCACTCTAACTCCAAATAGAACATGGCCATTCAAATGGACGATCCCCAGCGAGCTTTTAAACGTTAACTCACCTTAATAAGACGCTGCACAACAGGCATCACACTAGCCTCATGACAAAAACTTGAGGTATCTTAGTTTATTCATTTGCTTTTATTTTCTTCTCCAAAAAAATGGAGTCAAAGAAAATCGAATCGGTAAAGATTTTCTTGTAAATCGATCAGTATGTTAGTGAGGCAGTCAATTTACTTTATCTCTGTGACTGAGGCACTAACTTAGTAAAACTGGCATTAGTATTTAACTTTTTAGTGCCGCACTTGGAGTCAATTGAGTTATGCAACTACCTTGGCAGGAACGACTTAGGGCAAGCTATTTTGTCTACCGGTTGTAATGATGAATAATATTCCTCACTTAGGACGAAAGAAATGGAAAAAAGAACGAAAAAAAGGGAAATCTCAACCGTTTCCGTGATTTATCTGTCAACAGTTCAGTTTGAGTCCTTTTCTTGTATCTCGGAGTTACCTCCAGCTTAAAGAGGACTCCAAAATATCAATTCAGTACGAAGAGAGGCTAGAAAACGGATAGGAATTTTGTTACAGTCAAACTAAGTGAAGCGTACCCCTTAAGATTACATTAATGAAATGATCATTTGTAAAATGAACCCGCCAGTCATTTCAAGAATGCAATAATGAATTGATTATTTGATTATTGAACCCGCTAGCCGTTTCGCGAATGCAATAATGGATTGATTATTTGAAGATTGAACCCGATAGCCGTATCCGTTTTGAAAAGGCGCGGATCATTGTTCAAATTAGAAGTCCATTTCTGAAGTCCAATAAGATTGTTCTATTTGACGAGGAATCCTGAAAATGAACAAACTTCAGTGTACAAACACTGCGAAAACAGTCGATCGCAAATATTAACGAAATAAAAAAAAGTCTTGTGATGGCTTCGCCCGTAAACTATTTTTTTCGACCATGAATACACACAAGAATTTCTACAAGTTCGTTAAGATGTAAATAGGCGAAAAGAGCTCTCGATAGCATTCCATTTACAACATTTACAAGAAGTTCTACACAACACTCGAACTCACCTTTCCCGCCATGTTGAAATACTTCCGGTCGATCATCACGTGTTCGCATGATCCGATCAGAAATGGACTTCTGATTTGAACAATGATCCGCGCCTTTTCAAAACGAATACGGCTATCGGGTTCAATATTCAAATAATCAATCCATGAATGCATTCTTCAAACGGTAAGCGGGTTCCATGTTCAAATATTCAATTAGTTATTGCGCTCCTGAAACGATTAGCGGGTTCAATATTCAAAAAATCAAATCATTAATGTAATCCTGAGGCTTCACTTAGTTTGACTGTAAATTCTAAGACTCTCTCAATACTAATGAAGATTACTAACGATGCTTTTCTTTATTTTAAGGTTTCTTCATCGTGCACTGAAAAAGCAACGTAGCGCATGTCCAAAAAAAAACCACCACACCACGGTCTACATCAAAGAGTCCACGTGAACATGGTGCCAGTTTTGTTGCCAAGACAACTAATCACTATGGTGTTTCACCGACTGGGGACCGAGTTCATGCCGTGCCTGCTGTAGCTGACGGAAACAGACAAACACGAATAACATGCCTAAAAAGGGCGCTCTAGTTTTACTCCTTCATAACTGGAGGTAGTGAAAACAACTAGGGATTGCCACAGGGAACGGACACATGTCCATCCATTAATTGCAGTGAGCGAGAAACTCTAAGCTGCTCAACAACTGCAATCAAAGATCTTTGCCTTTCAGACTCAACGACGACAAAGTGACAGCAAAACAAATAAAACTTTGTACATTTCTCACGTATTTACTAGGGATTAACACAACAGACCTCTTCCATTGCACAAGCTACAACATGCTCAACATTAAATAAACAGTATTTTCAAACATCATTAAGTTACTATAAAAAGTTATTTCCTGTGGAATTCTCACATCATACTGCGGAGAAATTGAGGAATATGTCTTGGTATTTTCTCTTGGTTCTTTATAGGGCTGCATTCAGTAAGTTATCAACACGAAGTTGGTAAAGATAAGTTAGCCACGTTATCCAATTGATAAAACCGGTCGTTTACAGCTTTACTCTTACCTTGTAATCCTTTATTTGAATAGCGTTTACCATTTAAAACGTCAGCTTTTAATCCCCACCGCAATACGTTGCTCCTTATTGAGAAGTTTCCTTTTGAGTGTCGAAACTAAGCCAGGATCACCCTGTTTTTGCGTTGCCTCGCTCTGTGTTTGGTCGAGAAAATTGGCGCCATTCCCATGGCTAATCTGAATCAAATTGGTCGCCGCGTTTTCCCGCCCTATTAGCAGTATTCAGTCTTTCCTTTGAGTTCCCATAGGCTAATGATATCGCAAACGTTCGTTCTGATTGGCCATCGCGATAAATAGGGTTTTGGCATTTCGACATTCAATGAAAACCACTCCAAACTGCGTGCTGATAGTTAACTTTAAGTCTCATCCGCAATCCGAAGACGAATCACAACAACTTGCTTAGTCACTGCACGAAATAACTTCAGAACGAGCGTTTGTTTTGATCCCCTTCATCCGATTTCTGTTTTAAATTAAGTGTTTGTCGAAGTTATTCACCGTTGTATCACCGTATAAGGAAAGATATTTAAGTCTACGCAACGAATTGTGCCAATTTACAGAAGGACTGCTTCGTGCAATGGCTCTTCGCCATGAACTTTACACAGGTATCAAAGTTTAACTATACTAAACCACCGATTTCACTATAGGAGGGTAGGGCGTTGTCGGATTTCTCAGGGAAGAGAGCGGAAACTCGTGGAGCGCGATTACCCACACTTGACCTTTCATAAAGAGACGGGAGATAAAAAACAGCTGGGATAGTTATATAAAAAAAAGCAGTCTCCTCAGCAATAAGAACTACCACAACACCCTAGATGTCAAGGAAACCCGTACCCTGTCATTTCTCCTTGGTCCGTGGAACACGTACGTACGGAAAACCCGATATGTTATTCCCTCCACATTATCCGCGTAGCCCTTATACGTAACCCATTTCAGCTTTCGCGCGGCGTGATTTTTTCGCTATTCTCACATCCAGTTTCCGATTTAATATAGCTCGGCTGCGCGCTTTACGCGTGACTCACCTGAAAAATGAAGTGACCATTATTACCTCGACGGCAACCTACCTAATGTTCCGTCGGTTAGGATTTCCTTATTGGGAATATGTGGGCTTCTGTATTAAATACAAAGTTATCAAGTGGCACCATGTCCACATCGCTAAATAATAAGAATAAATACTTAAGTGTCTCTCCGAGGAAGAAGCTTTCCATTTTGTCTCTGAATCCCAAATTTGTGTCTTTGACACTGTTTAGCGACGAATATCCTCCAGTGCTTATCTTGGCATGTCGCTCAATGGCTTGAAATATGGACCAGCCATACTCCTGGTATTTCTTGTCTTTCGTAAGACGGTAAAGAATAAATAATGATTCTACAGTTTCTGGTCGTAGCAAACAGTGGGCATCTAATGGCTGAAAAAGGTTAAAAACGTACTTTAAAGTGATGCTCCCATAAGGTTCCAGCACTTTGAGAATGGCATTATGAACTTAGATAAAGGAACCTTTACTTTTTCAACCAAAGCCTTTTACGTTTTCACCTCAGTGTAAATCCATTTTTGACTGCTACGTGGAAAAAGATCAAACCCCAATCACCGTCTCTACGAATTTCTTCTTCCGCCGAGAAAAAGGATTTCATAGTTAGATTCTTCCTCATGTTAAAGCCAAGAATTTTCCGAGAACATTTAGCGAGGTGCTTTCTTATAATAATTATAACAATCACAACATTTTTTCACGGGTGGCGCTTTTGATGTTTTCTTCCAGTGTTTATTATTGAGAAATTTTAATGCTAACAGAGAACTTTTAAAATATCTGTCAAATATGGGATTTCTTTGTGTTTGCTCTTCTTTGCTAAATGATTGACCGTGGATACTTCCAGTAAAAGCAATCCCCGTTTTGTACTCGTGTTTCAGTTATTTTTGTCTTCCATGCTTAGTTTACATTTAATTCTAACTGGTTTTGCTTATGAATGGTCCATATGATTACTTTGCATCAGATACGAACGAGGATAGCTAAAAAAAATAAATGCTTCGTTCTACACGTAAAATCCCAAGGTCTGCCCAGCAGGATGTATCGTAAGCATTTGGACCTATTCTAGACACAGCCATTCAAACCAGAGTGTGTAAGAAAAATTAAGTGCGTGACAGTCAATATCAAGTGCGTGACTTTAAGGTGGCGTTACATGTAATATTCCAAACAACCATACAGTAGTACCTGATGACGTCAATCGTATCGCGTTAGTGCCTTCGGAAAGGGTGTGGTCATAGGAACTTTCTAAGCTTTCGTACTCGGAGTTGACAAGACATCAAGACATAAAGAGTGATTTAAATTATGAGTATTAAAAAGAAGCTAAACCGAGATTTAAGAGTGACTGGTGTTGTATCCGCGCTCCCAACAGCAATACATGGTTGACAAACTTACCCTGACTTGAATATCTTCGTGTTTTGAAGACCCCTGGTTAAAGTAGACCAGTTCAGCACTTAATCCAGTAGGCATACGTTTGTACATCTGAACACATGTCTCCAACAGATCCTTAGCAAATTGTTCGTATTTCTTGTCCAGGCCATTCTGAACAGCCAACATTAATGTTCCTGGCAGAAAACACACTAAATGATCCTGCAAGTAAAGAAATTAGGAATATGCATATTAAGGAACACAGGGAAAATATTAATAGATTCCACTTCACAAATAATTATATTCTTAGACAAAAGTAAACACTTGAATCTCAAGACTACCAGATTAAAGTACGATATTAACAATAATAATTAAAATCAACATTCATTAGAGAGATGTGTAAAACATTTGCCTGACACCAGGGAAGGCCTCTAGTATGGTTGTGAATTAATTTAGGAGGTATACACTTTTTTAAAGATTAGCAAACAAAGTACACCATTTACAACTGGTGATCAGGAATGCTGCCAAAGTGAGAGTGCTTGCCTCCCTCCAACACCACATGTGTTCAGGTTGTTATTGGTTCTTTTCCCTGGTTTTCTTTCTTCCACAAAAAATAATTCTCTGAATTCCAAATGAACCATCTAACAGTACATAGAGAGCCACCTTATGGAAGCATCATTGTTAAATTTCAGTTAATCATCATCATTACTGTCATTACAATTATCACTGTTACAATTATAATCATTACCATTATTATTTAATTGTTATCATTTTTAATATCATTGTTGTTGTAATTCTTCTCTTATTTCATATACTGTACATACCATCTTAGGGCTGAATGTTGAGCCATGCAGAAGTTCACCAATGTACACTAACTTGCTTGGTTCAGATTCTCTCCTCAAAAGAGACATGACTCCATCCATAGACTCGACAAAATCATCTCGAAGCCTGGCAAGAAAAAGAAATCATAAACTACTGACCCAACCTTCTTTATTGAAAAAGTAGGTACCCAGACAAGATAATGTAGTGCACTGTTGGGCAATTCTTGCTAATCTCTACATCCACTTTCAGCTCTAAGCTAGAGATCTGTCTATGAAGTATTAGAAGACCTAATTCAGTCATTTGCTTTTCAGATGGCTACATGTTTCCTTGCAAACTACATAATGAGAATTACATGATGTATCAAGAAATCATGCAGAAAAGGAATTTTCAATAAATTTATTTTATCTCTTAGTTGGCATGGGTACTAAGATTGATCAATTTATCAGCCATATTTCACTGTGCAGTTTGCTAAATTCGAAATTTTGTCTGAATTGAATTCTTCCCCTTTTAGAGAGACAATTTATGGTCCTTGTGCTTTGCACTTAGGGGCCATAAATTGTAACAAAAAAGTATTAGTCCACAACGCACAGTACAGACCTCAAACTTGATTACCACAGGGAATTTGATTTCTGCCTCCCTATCCACCTAAGATAAATACTAAAAAAATAAAGCAATATCTTGAAAGATTTGCTCTCCTCATTTTTTCTCACACCTGACCCTGCAGTTTTTGTATAACTGCTCTTTTATTCATTCCCACTAACTCAGAGCACGGCACAGTCTAGAGGAACTGTTACGGTGTGAAAGGCTGAGGTACCCAAGGCTTTTGAATTTGAACCAAAAAACCCCAAAACAACAACAAAAATGAGCAAACAGACAAACACAAACATGAAAGAAACAAGACCATCATAACCAGCTAAACAGAGTGTATGACTCACTCAGTGTACATGAATTCTCTTACCAATTCTCAGTTTTCCCACTCTGTAGCCACTGCTTTAGAAGATACTCATAGTAGCTATCCCCCCGAGCACCCAAGGTAATTGTTGCACCAGGCCGAAACTTGCCTGTATCTGCATTCACAAAGATTGGTACTAGGCCTGCCCGCTTGGGAAGGGCATGAACATGACTCATTACTGTATCTACTGCACTCTGAAAAAAAAAAAGGAATAAAAAAAGAGAAATAAAGCTACATTTGTAAACTTTAAGAGCACACCTTTCCTACCAAAAAAAAAAAAGACAAATCTTTACAAAATTCCAATTCTAAAAAAAAATATAAGGAATCAATCCACAAAGACCTTAAATAACATATCTAAATATTTACCAGTAAATACTTTTACATAAGGAATAAATAAAGGTTCTGTCTATGAAAAGACAGCAGTTTCAAAATGAACATTCTTTTCCTAATTCCAATTTGTTGTGCCCACTGTTTATGTAAAAAAGTTAACTTCACTTACAGTTAAAGGCTACTAATAATGTTTTATAATGTGAAGAAGAAGAATTTTTCCTTTTTTAATTAAGAATACAATTCTGGCAAACTTATACAAAACAATATTACACATTTTATCCAAAATATTTATTATAATATAATTCTTACATTGCCTATGATATAAAACTTACACTACATCACTTATATTGCAGTCATACATACATAATTTACATAACAACTCACCGAAAAATAACTTGTAACAAACAATACTTTCAAAGCATTATGTTGAACACGATCAATACTGTGACAGTATTTCCTTTGAAACTGTCACATTCCCAACAATATTCCAGATACCTTGTATTTTGCATCCCCTGTGATATAAGCGAGATCTCGGAACTCCAGCTGTATGGTAGTGACCTCAGACACTGAACTATCTGGACCCCAGCGAGGAGGGTGAGCTGTATGAGTCAGTAGATTCACATCAGAATATGGAATGTTTGATCGCGTGTGAAAAGCTGGCAGGAGGCGATCTCCCAAATCAATCTGTCGCAAAGGATAAAAGGAACAAAAATTTTCAAGTACCATCAGCAGTTTCTAAAGCTACACTGACTAAATACAATGATGTTAGCAAGTCATATGTGGTAAACTAATACATGTTTATTGATGAGCAAAAAAAAAAAAAGAAAATATACAAACAGTAACAGAAGGGTTAATAAAGTAGTGGGAATGGTCAAGTTTGAGTTCAGTTATCAAAAATGTGGTGTGTAAGAAGAGGAAAAACACTGTGTTCCTCCTCGGCAACAGAAACGATATAAATTACATGACAAGAAATTTCCAGACTGTCATGCCATAGTCAAAACCTTTCAACAAATAAAGTTAAGAATCAAAGAGATAAAAGAATATGAATATTCAAACAGTCTTGCAAAGATTCAGGTCTGTGTGATGTTGCAGGAGGGAGATATTCAAATAAATGTTTTACACGAATCTATAAGACTTTATATGGAAATGCCATTTTGTGTCCCTCTGATGGACACAAATATGGCGGCCGGAAGCTAACAAAAACATATGTCTTTGAGTTTTGCTTTAATTACAAAGCCTGCATTCATCTTCTGAGGGCTCTATTTGAGTAATTATTCTCCTACAAGGACTGTTCAAATTGCTAAATCTCAGTGCATAAATCACTTTTTTAACTTACATGACAGCTTTCTTGGCTGCCATTTCAATCATTATTGTGTCATGCAAAAGCTTCAAAATTCAACCTTGCTTTATCTCAAGACAAAAAACCCTTTCAAACCAAAAATTTGTAAAAAGATAAGTCTTCAACTGCTTTAATCAGTGCTTTCAATAAGATTTGAAATAGGTGGCTACATCAGTACAACACCCACTGGAGAGTGACTTGAGTGTGACTTAAGCGTGGTGACCGTGACTTGAGCATGGTAAAATATACCCGGCAACTCACAACAGAATACTCACCGGAGCTCTGGAGGGTGCCAAGTCTTATCGAAAGCACTGTCTAATAACTCACTTTATTACACATGACTCGGGCAGTCAGAAGGCCAATAACTAAAATTAACCGATCAAAATGCTCCATTGCCGGTCAATATTCTCTCAGTATTGGACCAGGCACTGTCCTGAATGGTCCCGAATGATACCGCACTTGTGTCCCTTTGAACTTGAGTCGTATAATAAATCTCTTATTAACCAAGCTTGCTCAGGACGTACTGGAAGAATATTGGCCCTCGGTCCGTCCTGTCAAGACCTCTGGCCTATATTCTCCAGTACAGCCCTCGCGCTTGGTTAATAAGATATAATTATTTAGCAAAATTTCAAAAGGATTGATAATGGCTTATTTTTTTAATTTTGATGATTTCACATGAAGAACAAGAATAGAAGTGGCTTAACTAAGGTGAAGCAAATGGCTGAAAATTTTCACAAACGAATATGTGAAAGTTCAAATAAAGGTCAGGTATTGGCAAGTTTAGCACTAGTAATAATAATATAATAATAATATAGATCAATTTCTATAGCGCATTTCCATGTAAATGCTCTAATGCACTTTACAACACTGTGCGGGGGACTTTTCCAGACTGCCGGCGGCAGTTTACAATTAATAAAGGAGAAATTTTTACAGATGCCCCCTCCCCCCCTTCCCAGTAAACAGGCCAGACCACATCACAGTAATCTCGTGATGTGGGTTCTTTAACGTCCCTTGCCGAAATTAACTAATTGATAGGTGCAGGAGACGGGACCTCCGGCTTTACGTCCTATCCGAGAAGACGAAGCAATGTGAGTGAAGCGTCTTGCTTAAGGACACAACGTCAAGCCCCAGCCAGGACTTGAACCCGGGCCATCTGACCTAGAGTCCAGCGCACTGACCACTGGACTACTCACGCCTCACTAGTCAGCATAACTTATCTGCAAATCCTGTAAAAAAATAGTTTCTTTTAACTAGTACTTACTGCTTTCTTCAAAAACAGGTCATCTCGAGACAAATGATAAGCACTCAAGAGTCCTCCAAGTACACGGATTGTTGTCTCAAACAAATTCACATCAACATTTTTCTCAAAGGTCAAGCTGCTAGCAACCCATTCACGAGCCTGTTGAAATTCTTCACGCAGGTTCATTAACAACATGGTATCCAGTGAATCAATAATTGTCAGCCCTATACCAAACCACTCGCTGTGTGATCTGGAAATGGGACGTAATTCATCATGACCCCAAGCATATTTTCTATAACCATCCCATGCATGTCTGAATGCTTCTACAACTTTCTTTTGACGTTGATTTTGTTTATCTAATGGCAGTATGTTAACTCCATTAATGTTCAGAGCAAAATTCTCATTATTTTCTGCAGGATTTGCTTCACCATCACCAGCAGTATCTGCTCCAACGTCACCTGGTAGCTTATCCTCATTATGTACACCTGTATCACCATGAATCTCCCCCAGATTTGTTTCTTCCTTTGAATTAAGGTTATTGTTATTGTCTTTATTGTCCTCAATTGGTTTATCCCTATTTTTCAACTTTGGGGGCCCTTTCTTTATTGCCAGGGCATGTTGCTTCCGAAGTTCTTCCAGTTCTTTTAAATTATTTTCAATAATTTCCTGTTTATTAACTCTGTTAAACTTGGGAGAATGTTCCTCAGAAATCGTGTGACCTTGATGATCTACAGTTTCATCCACATTGTCAATGGCCAAGTTGTGCGCCATCAGTCCTTTACGCCACCACAAAAAAGTTACACAACCAAGAACACACAGCAGAAAAATGAGCGATCTTTGAAAAGAAGACATGGCTCGCCATTTCTGCAGTAAATACGCAAAACAAAATATAAATTAGTTTGGCGATGTAAACAGCTAATATCCAAAATGTAAACAAATTTCGAGTCGGTTTACGCAAAGGCGAACCTCAACTGCCATTAAATCTGTACATAGGATAGTCTTAATAGTACAGTAGATAGTAACTAAGATCATTCAATTGTATCTCATTGCAAATTTATGCACACGCTTTAACCTTTATTCATTCAGGTGCGCTGCCCTAAAGCGTTTTCCGGTCCAGTTACACTTGTTTAATAGTTCGTGGTCTTTGTTTCACAACATGGAACGCTCTTAACTCTACTTGAAAGAACAAAATACCTACAATCGACCACACAGGTGCCACACACTGTCATTCGCTTACCCTGTACAGTGAAGTATGTCGGCGTCCCTTGCTGTTGTCATCATTTCTATGGCCAGTATTCCATGGCATGGAAATTGAGATGAAATCTCCCGATCCTTCCCGCTGAGTGGAGCCCATATCTTCAAGGAACGATATGGAAAAATACGGGACAAAGATAGGTTTTCTTGCTAATGTTAGTTTAGATATTCTTCGGCTTAATCATCTTAAAAGATTTGGTAAATAACGCCGACTGTCCGCCATCTTAACACACTATCTACCTCCCAGGCTCCTTGCCGAAATTATTTGTCAAAGGGACTGGTATGGAACTCCCAGCTTGCAGATTTTTTTTTTTTTTTTACCAAGAAAAAAGCAGTTATTTGTCTTGAAGCTCATCACCCGTAATAAAGGGTGAAGAGGGGGAAGAGAATTCAGGTGCTGGGCTAGCATGGTTTGATGCTACTCTGGTTTTAAGGATTTAATGAATGTAACCGGGAAAATTACAATTCATCGACCCAACGTTTCGACACCCAGTCTAGTGCCTTCATCAGGGGTGATCTAATCGTTGCAAAAAGAGGTCCTTTTATATCCTCAATGGTTACCAGCCCTTTTTTCTGACGAGGTGTAAATAGGCGTCAGGTAGAAAGCCGCCATAATCACGATTTAAAGGAGCGTGGGCGGAGTTAATATGCCAGGTGTCCAAACAAAAGCGCTGGTGGTAACGTCGATTAGTGGTCATAATTTTAGAATTATCCCATTCAATTGCGTAGTTAGTTAGGCATGCGTACTCCTTCAAAGGTGAATTTTCTTTTTTGCAAAAGAAGACTGTTTTTTATGCTCTTTCAAACGTGTTTCAAACTGACGTTTAGTCTGTCCGATATACTCATGATCACCGTTCATTGCAAAGAATAGAATAAACAGCATCGGTTCGTTGTTCTTTCGTGACAGGATCCTTAGGTTTGGCAAAAATATGCTCCAAAGTCTGAAAAGGTTTTTCAGCAACTTTAACGATGTGGCTATCCAAAATTCTTTTGTCTCTAAATTTAAAAAGATTTTGCGCTCGTAATACCTTGTGGAAAAAATACACTGAGGGGCAAATGTCACAAATGCATGAGATATTTTCGGATTTAGACTCAAAGAAGCTTTCAAAATGCCTTCAAAGCTACTGTTATTTTCTTACAACACTTCCTCCTATCTGAGATTTACCTAGGAGGTAGATTAGCTCACGTTGGATTCGTGTAATCGTATAATTCATCAAATGATCACTTACAGAGGCAGGAGTCATTACGTGTTATTATAACAAATGTCACCTTCAAACTGTTCGATATCATGATTATGTGCCGATCAAGTCTTCACGTCACATCAAGTTATCACGCAAAAGTTTTTATTACGAAGATATTATCAGTCCACTGTGCCGGTAATACGTTTTCTATTCCTATTATTAGCACCAGTCCACTCTGCTGAAATAGATATGCGAATGGTTTTTCGACAGCGTTGGAGTTTCGATCTTTCGTTTCACATCGAGAATTAACATATATCAGAAAGTGCCATATTAATAGGACTTTGCAGCGAAGACTTAATGTAAACACTCTCCGATCGATTGGATATGCACGCGAAATATATTATTGAAAAACCAGGACACCTTATTACATTGAGACAAAGTGGTCTTCATCTTTAGGAGTCATTTGTGTTTTGCTCATTTTATTACCTGTACGAATTGCATGATCATTATTTCACTATTATGTATTTCTTTAAAGCCATCGTGTTGGCTTTCTTAATAGTGCTGTTGGTGTACTTACAACCGACAACAAAGCCAATTGCAATGAGTCCTGGCACAAAGCAGTCAGTGTAACATCAACTACAACTGTAACAGCTTCTATGCCGGTCCCAAGTGCTAGAAAATGGAGCACATGTAAACAAGAGTTGCCGGATTGAGAAAATGAATAAACACATTCAGGTAATGCTCACTGGGAACTTTAGTCAATTAGCCTGAATGGTATAGCGGAGCAACTGACAGCGGAGTTTCCGTAGCTAAGTAAATATGGTAAGCATACTAGAGCTTTTTTAATTCACCTTGAATTCGAGGAAGATTCAAGCTTTCCAGTTTTTGGAGTCACTGAATTAAATGAGGATTTGAAAAATTTAAACTGTTTAATGCGCGTCCCGTAGGTGAAAAATACAAAAAAGGGTAATTTACCTGTTCTAATTTTTTATTTTTATATGGAACGGAGGTTCTAGGTGTCTTTAACTCTCTTTGAAACTCCATCAATTTCATGCAAATTTACAGTTGACAAGAATTATGCTGAGCTTTTAAAAGTCTGGGGACAACAACAGCGGCGTGGACATGATCAGTCCAATTAATGGTTTGGGAGAGTTTAACGTCTACTACGATAAAACAAGAGCCGGTGGATAATGAACGGTTTTTCTCAAGAGATTTGATGGTTCTGTGCCTTGACTACAAACGCAGCTTTGGCAATCTAATCGCAGAGTTTTGGTTCTGACCGGACAAGATTCACCCCGTTACGATTAACGCAACCAACACGCCTCGTGTTGACTGAAAAGATGTACACGGTAAAGCAGCATTTGCTGAATTTAATTAATTTTCAATGGCGAGCGAGAAAACTAAATATCAGCTGAATTTTGGCAATTATTCGGTTGAGTTGAAATGTCTAGCTTTCTTGTTGATTAACTTATAGAATTCCTAATAATGCTACACTTGTGACTTCAGTAGAAGTAAAGAAAGATTTATCAAAGTCGTATTTAAATTTTCTCTCGCAGGCACTGACGGCGATTCTCCCCATCATCATTGTGTTTCAGCGTTTTCCACCACAAATCGGTGGCAAGGTCGATCGTGCAGGGATGACTTGGAACAAATGGAAGCCGGAACAACGAAGTGAATCCGTCAAACGGTCAGAAATGAAGATCCGTCTCGGAAGAACTTTCTGAGATTCCAGCAGTGTCCTGTTGCATCAACTCCTTCTTCAGTTAGAACTGGATTGAAAATGAGTGGCTGTTTTGAGCGATGTACCTTGTGCCTTCTTATGCCTCACTGATCAGGGCAAATAAGGAAGAGTTAGCGAGTGACGAATTGATTTGTAAAAGAAAAATGGCAGTCTAAGTTCAAGTGTGGGATGGATTTAAGGCAACCAGTTTCAAAACTCGCAGTTTTCTGGGTCACTGCAGAAGAAGTAGAAAGAAAAATTAAAAATTCAAGCTTCCATGGGGATTGAACCCGGTTTTTTCCACATGCTAGCAGGGAGAATCTATGAAATAAGCTACAAACTCGCATTTTAGGAACCAGGGAAGTGTTAGTGGGTTCCTTGTTCCCCTTAAGGAACTCAGATCATAAATGGAGTGCTTTAAGCTGTTTTTTCCCCGTAATTTCACACTATCTGTGAAAATCAATCATCACTTGCTATCTCATCCACAGGTGAAAAATATGATTTATCTTATTTGCACCATTTGTGATTAGAAGAATTAAAGTATATAGAAGTCACTTCCTTGCCTAGGAAGGGTCAACGAAAATCACTCCATTACTTTGATGAAGAAGTTCTAGTAACCAATCAGCCAGACAATTTCTGGAATCTTATGTGTAGTGATAGTGTATAAGAATAAAATTAAAAAGGAAAAAAATAGACAGCCACGAAATTAATAAAAACCGATTACGGATTTGATGTTATGAGAAGAAACCAAAGGTAACACGGGCAAATATTTTTTGTCTCTTTGTTTCCAAATGGCATGTTTCGGATGAACATCGTACTCTTCGGCATCATCTTCTAAATTCTGGAGAGCTTCAATAACTTCTCTTTCGCGTCTATGAGGATTTCCTCTCCCGCGTCACATTGACGAGATAAAGTTTCATTTTCTGATCAAATATGTCAGAAAGAGATGTTCAAAATACATTTGAAATGTAATGAAAGTTAAATATCGGACAGAACAGCTGACATGACGACAATCTACTCAGTGTTGTGATAAGAAAGAAAGAGATAAAACACAAATCATAAGAATAAGTAAAATGAAGAAATATTAGTTCGTAAATGGGGCTCATTTAATGTGACCTTAATTTTTTGGCTCGAACTGACTTGGTTTTGTGAAAGCGCAACGGCTGCAAAAGTGTAAGAAACACACCCTCGTAAAAACTTTCATTCTAAACTTTATTGCTGTGTACAGAACTCATGTGTCCCAATGACATTTGATAAAATCAAAGCGTTGTTGCAAATTTGCTATACTTTTCATTTTAATTTCTCAAGTCTTTTAATTTCTTTGATTTTTCCAAGTCGCTTGTTTGGGATGTAGATCATATTGCTCAGGTATGTCTTCAGTTTCAGTTTCATCGTCCGTTAAACCTTTCTCTGTCACCTTCTGTTGTTCCTTGCGGCTGGCTTGTCCCATCGGAAGTTTCTTCTATCTTTCCGCGACGACTGCGGCGGCGACGGCTTCTCGAAGCATCACCGTAGGAAAGTGGTTTATGAATTATAAAACTCTTCGAAAAGGCGGTCGGTCGCCAGTTGAAATGCATGCCGGTCCATTCAAAGGTTAAAGAAACGTTTTGTGATGTTACCATATAAAAACTGCTAGCAAAGACTTTCCTGTTTCATATTTATTTATAAATAAAAAGCATGTTTTGTGGACTTGACCAAAAACTACACGACGCATTCACCTGAAGTTTGTTGTTTCAATTAGCAGATTGGGTTTTCCGAACCTATTCATTTCGTCGATCCTTGTCACAAGCTACTTGAAAACATTTTGGTTTCAGATCAAGTCAGTTTTGTACTGAGGAAATTACCTGTAATCGATAAAAAGAGATGCAATAACTACCATCACAAGAATGGCGACCCAAAATATGTTAATCTTTAGTGACGACCTTGTCTTAGTTAACAACAAATTTAAAAAAATGCAGTGAAGGGGTCTTCCTTAAACTCAGCTGAATTTGATCGTTCGGAAGATATATTTATATCATGCGAGTCCTTTTTAGTTCCAAGAATTGATTTCATTCATTATAATAATAATAATAATAATAATAATAAAGCATTTAGATAGCGCCAAGCTCGACTATTTCTCCGTAGCGCTTTATAAAATTATAGACTACTTAACATAGCAATTAAATTATAAAAAATCGTAAATTAAAAAGCGTCTTTGAACAAGTATGTTTTGAAGTGCACCTAAACCCAAAACTTCTTTTTCGCTTGACGAAATAAGCTTATTTTTTGGAGTGTTTCTGTGCAAATTTTTTTTAATTTGCTCAAATCTTTAATTTTCTGTGC